AACTATTCTTTAACCTAAATAACCTACCTTAATGCGCTAACTATTGCTCTAAGCAAGCTTTGCTTTTACAGATTATTTATAAACTGTTGTAGTATTTTACTCCTTTACTATAAATTAAAGCTAGTATTTCCTATAGTAGGTTTTTAGATTCTAGATAATCCCTTAATTAAGAGGTTAATATAGGCTTATTATATTTAGTAGAAGAAAGGCAACGCAGATATAGGATAGTAGAGGAGCCTGCTGCAGGCCTTAAATGTAAGCCTTAAAGTTGTTTATAAGAAGAAGAATTAGCTAAGCTGTAACACTACTATAAAAATATATTAACTACTTAGCTATAAGTGTTAAGTTTATTTATGCCTTCTTATTTACACGCTAATATATATTAAGTGCTTAAAGATTAATACTATAGAGAGGTTAAGGCTGCTTAGCATAGCTAATAAGCTATAAAGATAGCTAATAAGAGCTAGTTGCGTTAGTACAGCATACTACAGTAATTCTTAACTTTAACTTTTTAACTCTAGGTAGAGGCTAGGTTAATAGCCCTCCTACTAGTGTATTTTTTTAAAATAACCCTATTTTATCTATATTATATATATCCTTTTTAGCATACTTGCTATAGATTGTTTAAACTAATTTTATTGCCTTCTTTACTGCAGTATTGTCTACAGATCTAGCCTTGCTGTGGCGCTGTTAAAACTTAATATTAAAGCGCTGCTAGAACTAATATAGCTAGCCCTAGCTAAACTTTAAAGGAGGTAGATGTTAATACTTGTTAATCTGCAGCTAGATCTTACGTGCTTTCTTAAGAAGCAGGTTGCTAGTAATATAGGCTCTGTAAGCTTCTATTAACTAGAACTACTAGAAGAGTATTAAGTTAAAGATTAGCTAATTACTAGTTGTACATCACACTACTAATAAAGGCTGCTAAGAGAGATTAGGTTAGTTAATATTGTTAAACGCGCTGCTTAGCAACTTAGAGACTATTAACTAACTAATTTTATAGTTGTACTGCTATAAGAACTACTATATACAGTTCTTATAGCGTGGTTAAGGTGTTTAACTTTTATACTAGCTTCTAAAAGCTCTGCGCTGTTCTTTTATAATCCTGCAAGCTATTGCTTATTAATTTTAGTAAGGTAATATTTTAGTGTTTTGCAGCTAATATATTAGAGGGTAAGGTATTAATTAATTTGTATAGGGGGATAATTAAGGCACAAAAAAATTATTGCGATATTAAGGTTATCAGCTTGGCAGGTGATCGGCTTGGCGGGGTTTGACTGTACCGCGTGCACAAGCCGACATCCGTGCGTAGAATATTCTGAATAAATTACAAGATTTTGTAAGCAGCTCTCTAACAAACTTACGTCCCTTGTTTAGCTCACTCCACTAACAAGATACACCACAATGCTAAAGACACTAAATTAACAACTAACGTACAAGGAGCGTATACAGATCCACACCCTACGCGAGATAGGCTAGAAACAAAAGGATATCTCTTAGAAACTTAGGATACCTCTTTCTACAGTCTCTCTCTGCCTCCGCACGCCTGAGACGCCTACAAAGCCTAAGGGACAGTCTCCTATTCTATCTACTCCATTCTAAATCCTCCTTGTACGGCATGCGACTGAGAACGCTGAGCAACAACAGAAAACTTAAGAGGAGATAGCTTAAGAGCTAGGGATAACAGTCTGTTAGCGTACGCTTATTAAGGCCTTTAAGAAGGAGCTCTATCATCGCTGTAAGGCTACAGAGAAACCCTTCCTTACTAAGCAACACAAGGCAGACTAGGTTTAGTAGGCATAGGAGCACCTTAACTAGAGCGATGATTAATGGGCTAGTATAGGCTAGAGCAACAATATAAGCGCCTAGGCTAGCCCTAGCAAAGTGTGGGTGACAAGGCGCGCTAAGGAGCGCTTCCTGCCTGCCTGCTGCGTTGCTAGATTTAAGGGCTACTCTAGCTGCATAGTGTGGGCGATGATATTAAGGGATATAAAGGGCTCTCTAGTTGTGTACAAGAAGAGCTAGTGTATAAATAAGAAGCAGTTAATTAACTTAGAAGTATATATTAAGCACATCCTGCCTGTAGTTATGACCTTTTAAGACGCGTACACAGAGTACACAGGCAAGGAGCTGACCTTGATAGAGGATAACGCATCTATCCATACATTAAAGGCCACAATAGCTGCTAAGCAGGCCCTAGGTATCCTAAAGATCTCATGGCCAGCAAACTTACCTAACCTTAACCCTATTAAGAACGTCTGGCAGATCTTAAAATACCGCCTAGAGAAGCGTTTTCTAAAGACTAACAACAAGGTAAGGCAGTATCTTCTTAAAGAATAGGAGAAATTGTCCTTTAGTGACTACAATAAGTACATAAAGTTAATAAGGGAGCGCTGTTAGGCAGTTATCTAGGCTAAAGGGGGACATACAAAGTGGTGAGACAATGTGTTAATACAATAATTATTTGTATGTATTTTACATAGAAAACAGCATTTTAAGAGCATTCAAGACTCGTGTAACAATTCTACGAATCGTTCCATCTCGGGTCGCTCGGATCCTATCCGAAGGGTCCCCGTATCGGCCCCAACCATAACTCGACCCAGTCCCCCTTAGTTACCCCTATTCCCTTATGTATTTAGTTGCACCTCGCCCCTGTAGCTAGCTTAGTAGTTTTCTAATATCCTACGTACAAGGCCTATAGGTGTTATTAGTATTCCTAGGTCTCTAAGTCCCCACGCACTTCTATATGCCTCTAAGTGGATTTATACTGCATTTAGACCTATTGTCTTGCCTGCGCTGTTACATTATATTAGAAAACTTACTTTTACTAGTAATAGCCTTATTAATAATATTATATTAATTATTTATTTAACTATGTCTAACTTTAAAAAGTGTCTAATTTAGTTTAAGTTACTGTTTTTAC